ATAGGCAGCACCGAGGAAGAGTGGATTCACTTTTATAATTAAAATGCAAACAGTATAAGCAGGGAGAAAGTTCCACTTTCACATTCCTCAACCTCATCCTCTCTCAAAACAAAATCACTCTAATCAGTTTGGTGGCATCGTTCCATATTCTCTTGGATGTGGCATTTTAAAACATGAGATGGAGGTGTGGGTTTTGTCGTCGATGCACAATATGCAATCATTGTGCATCTTGTCCTGCAGATTTCATTTTTCAGTTAACGATAGGTATTTTGAGACCTTCCCTCTCAGTCCTTCCAAGCCTATGGCATTCTCTGATGCTGATGGTGTCCCATGGTTTTGGTATCTCATACTTCATCATTCCCGTGTTGATAGGCATTTAGGTTCTTTCCAATTTGTCTCATTATTACCCTCATACTGCTGTCGTTTCCCAGGTTCTTTGTGAATGCAACATCTGCTACTATCTCTCTAGGAGAATTCCAAAGAAATAGAATCCCTGGGTTGAAGGACATGTGTATTTAGAATTCGATAGAATGCTACCAAATAGCCCTCAAAAACAGCCTACTAATTTATCCTCCTACCCTCAGGGCGGTGCAGATGCCCTGAACTGGGCTACCCCACATCCAGTCCCATCTCCTTTTCCTTTGGTACATTCCATAGTAGTAGCAGAAAAGGGTAAGTGATCACTTTCCTAGCCCGCCCCTCCAGCAGCTAAGTGTGGCTATAAGACACATTTTTGGCCACAGTGCTATACATGGAAGCATCTAGGAGTAAAAACATAGTTCTGGGAAAACTTTACCTTTCCCTTTTCTTTTTTATTTTTGAGATAGATTTTGCTCTTGTTGCCCAGGCTGGAGTGCAATGGCACAATCTCAACTCACTGCAACCTCTGCCTCCCGGGTTCAAGTGATTCTCCTGTCTCAGTATCCAAAGTAGTTGAGATTACAGAAGCGTGCCACCATGCCTGGCTAATTTTTTTTGTGTATGTATTTTTAGTAGAAATGGGGTTTCACCCCATGTTGTCCAGGCTGCTCTTGAACTCCTGACTTCAGGTGATTCACACACCTCAGCCTCCCAAAGTGATGGGATTACAGGCGTGAGCCACTGTGCTGGGCTTCAGAGGATGGCAGAGCGCCAGACTTTGGCCAATGCCCAGGGCACCAAGGTTGCTGTGTTTAGGACTTTTTCCTCTCGAAAGTTATGAGGGTATGGGCACCAGGTGAACCTGCTTCTCTTTTCATCCATAACGATAAACCCTCCCGAGCCACGGCTCCTCCTCTTTACTAAACATCTACTGAGCTGGTGGGCTGCACCTGAGCGTGATGGTGAGGTGTTTTGGTACATATTAAGGGTAACACACTTAAAGAAGAGGGACTCACCTCAACCACCAGTGGTCCAGAGCCAGGAGGATGCTGAATGCTGCAGTTCTCAACCTCAACTGGTTGGCTTGGGCAGGAAGAAAGCCAGTGGATTCTCGATGCTGTGATGGGCTGCATGGGGAGTAGGTGGGGTAGGAGGGAGGACCCATGAAGGCGGACCCATGGTGGGACGTTTAGGTACTGAGCTAGCCCACTGGCCACCAGCCAAGGCAGCTCAGACCCTGGATAAGGCCAGTCCTAGATCCTCACACTTGGAGTCATTCCGGAGTCTCACCCAACTGTCCACAGCACCGCAAGCATTGCCCAGTCCCCGTGTTCTATTTTACCAATAAGGGGAGTGAGAAAGTGTGAGGAAAAGTTTGGGGATTACTGCATCGATGGTGTAGCAGAATAATTTGAGGAAAGGTAGTGAGGAACAATATAATATGTGTTTCTCCTTCCACCGCCACTACCTCTCAGCTCCACAATACAAAGAATTCTGCTTCCAAAGCACATCATTATCCTTAGAAATTAGTTCTGGTCCTATCAAACCATGCCCCTACCCTCTGCCATACATCTGGATCTCACAGGCAAAACAAAGAAATGACAGTTTTCTCATGGAGACTAAAAAAATTCTGTGATTTTGCAGTTTCTGTGTTCTAAGCTGGTGACATCTGATTTTCCTGAGAGGTAGGGACAAGACCTCATATTTGTGGGGTCCTCCTAAATGCTGTGGACTGTGACTAGAACCCCCAATCTGCCAGTCTGTACCACTCATTTGGAACCAATGCCAAAATCTAATCCCCAAAGAGGATAACTTTTTTTTTTAAATCAGTAGACGAGGCCTCTGTGAACCCGTATGAATCTTGGCCCTTTCCCCATAAAAATATGATTGAACTATTCCTACTGACCTTTCAGAATTCCATTGTTCTCAAATATAACCAACCCTCTATTACACAGGCTTCATTCAACCAGGATGTTATCCGGATAATAGCAAGAATTGTCATGTAAACTCAGCTTTTTTTTCTGTAGGAGACACAAATTATTTTTTTTTTTTTAGCCCCAACCTCCAGAGCTTTCCCGTAGATCTCTCACATTCTAACCTCCCTGGTTGATCTGACCCAGATTTTCCTTAAATTGGTTGGTTGCCTTCAGGAAATGTGAGGGAATGGTTATGCTCAAAGCTGGATTGCTGACTGGGCGCAGTGGCTCACACCTGTAATCCCAGCACTTTGGGAGGCCAAGGTGGGCCTATCACCTGAGATCAGGAGTTTGAGACTAGCCTGGCCAACATGGCGAAACCCCATCTCTATTAAAAATACAAGAATTAGTTGGGTGTAGTGGCAGGCACAGGTCATCCCAGCCACTTGGGAGGCTGAGTCTGGAGAATCACTTGAACCCAGGAGGCAGAGGTTGCAGTAAGCCGAGATTGTGCCATTGCACTCCAGCCTGGGTGACAAGAGCAAAAGTCTGTCTCAAAATAAAAACTGAAAAAGCCAGATTTCTGGGGATGGGATCCTGGCTGGTGACTATGGGCAAGTTACTTAATCTCTTGGCCTCAGCATCCACATCTGCAAAATGAAGATAAGAATGGCATCTGTTTCATCATGTTGTTGGACTATGAAGCGAGTTAGTACATATAAAGCATTCCATTACGTGCCTTGCACATAGTAAGAACTTCAGATGTTAGCTAGTATCTTGCCCCATACGTGGGCCATACTTGCAGATGATGTGCAAGGGAACTCTGGGCTGTTTTTCATTGCTCTGCGTTAAATAACTCCACAGGAAATATAGATATTTGCCTGATGGCAGAAGGATGATTCTCACATCTGAAAGGGGGCAGTTACCTCTGGTCATCACGGTGAACTTTTACCTTGCTTCCCAGAGATGCATATAAAATATAAAACCCCAATTTATTCACTTCTGTACCCATACATTTAATTCCCCAAGGAATGGACCATCTTGTTGTGTGGGGCGGTCAGAACTTGACCTTTCTTTTCTACTCTGCCATTGACCTTGTGTGTTACAGTATAAGTTGAAAGAAGAGGAGGCGTGTCTCCTGAATGTCGAAGGTGCTCTTGCTCTCTTCCAAGAGAGTCTTACTCATTCCAAAATTGTCACTGAGCACCCACTGTGTGCCAGGGACTGCTGTGGGTCCTGAAAATACGGCAGTAAACAAGGCAGATGAGGTATTCATTCTCTTGGAGCTTGCATTGAGATCCAACAAACTCCAGCATTCTCCAAAAACATGTTATCAATTGCCTCTTCTTCTTCAGTACCACATATTCAAATGTTGACCCTGAATGACTGTGAGAGTCTGAAGAGCCTTGTGAACCACCAAAGAAAGATAACATGACGGCCACTATAGTTTTGATGATATGCATATTTTGTTGTATTATAATACTTCTTTTTGATACTGAATCTTGCTCTGCTGTCTAGGCTGGAGTGCAGTGGTGCAATCTCAACTCACTGCAACCTCCACCTCCCAGGTTCAAGCAAATCTCCTGTCTCAGCCTCCCGAGTAGCTGGGATTATAGGTATGTGCCACCATGCCAGGCTAATTTTGTATTTTTAGTAGAGATGGCAATTCACCATGTTGACCAGGCTAGTCTCGAACTCCTAGCCTCAAATGATCTGCCCACCTCGGCCTCCCAAAGTGCTGGAATTACAGGCATGAGCCACTGCGCCCAACCTTTTTTTCTTTTTAGAAATGGGGTCTTGCTATGTTGCCCAGGCTGGCCTCAAACTCCTGGGCTAAAGTGATTTTCCTGCCTCAGCCTCCCAAGTAGTTAGGACTAAAGCATGTGCCACTGCAATCCACTCTGTAATCCTTTTTTAAAAATCGTCCGTATAACATATCTATCGCCTCCAAGAATGTTTAATTAAACTGAAAGGCCTGTTCCTAGACTATACTGAAAAATAAACACACTTAATCTACACAGTTTATTTGCACGGTGTGATTGGTTTTTGCTTGTTTGTATGCTTTCCTTGTACGTGTCCTTCAGATTCTCTCCAACTGTGCCTTTCTTAACTCTCTGCATTGTGAGTCTCATCCGGGAGGAAGCTCTCTAAGCCTGTGCACACTCTACTGATGTTGCTGGACCCACAGCCAGCCCCAGGATGGGCGAGCCAGGTTAAGTTGAAGGGAGAAAGATCTTGTCTGCTGCCTCATAATATGTCCAAGCCCTCTCCTGAGGCCTTAACGTGGGTGCCTCCTGATAGTCAAAGGAAACTGTCAGGGCAATTGAGATCCTAACACCCTTCTCCTGGCTGTGGCTCCCCCAGCCTCTGGGAAATGACCGGATGGAGTGGAGCTCTCCAGACTTCCTTCAGCACCAGTGATCTCTGCTTCTAGGATTCCCGGGCAGAATCTTTGGGAGAGCCTGGGACCTGAAGGACTCTTTCTGCTAGGAAGCCAAGAAGAGGCCAGGAGTTCACTGCGGATTCACACACAGGCACACAGAAGGGAACATCCCTGCCTGCCCTGCCCCATCCATACACTCAAAGGAGAAATGAAAGTGTGCTTGATTTCTTGTCATGGAGGAGAATCTAGGGGTGGAGCAGACACAGGGAGAAAGAAGGCTGTTTACACCACAGAGGGAGGATAGGGAAGAGGAAGAAAAACTCGCATATGGAAAGGGACACTACTGGTAGGGAAAGAAAATTTATTTTCAAGCTTTTAAGAGAATATTACAAACAACAGAGAGTTTTAAAAAACCCTAAAAACTAGTTTAAAAAAGTACTTGACAGTGTCCTTTTAATACCCACGGATGACGCAGTCATTGTGCAGTGACAACCAGAAACTCTGCAGGTGACCACCCAGTGGCTTTCCCTGGCAGGGTCCCCAGAGAGAGCGAGGTGGGGGTCCAGGGGTAGTGCTCCCTGCCAGGCACCCCGGGGCCTACCTGGTGGCACAGGAAGGACCAGGGAGCACAAAGCACTGAGCATCCGTCCATCTGCCTCTTTGGGGAGGGTTCCAAGCAGCAAGGAATACTTAGATTGGGCTCTACTCCACTCAGGGCACACTTGCCAAGCTCCTCCCAACCACTGCAGCTGCTCTCTCGAAAGCCCCTAGATCGGGGGTGCCCTACCATGAGGGGACTGGGTCAGTGTGTGTGCCAAGGCAGGAAGGGGCTGGCGTTGCACACGTCCTGGCCATGGTGGGGTTGGGTAGTTGGGAAAGTTGCTCCAGGATTGACAGCTTCCAAACTGAAGCCACAGCAGCAGAACTGTGCTTGAAATACCCACTGGAAATCTGTACTTTTCTCTAGGGGTGTGCGTGTGTGTGTGTGTGTGTGTGTGTGTGCATGTGCGTGTGCGTGTGTGTGTGTCCTGTAAACATCTTTGAGCCAAATCACTATAAAATAAATTAACAAGGGCAGAGAAAGACACCCTTTTCCAAACCTAAGCCCTCTTAGAACCCACTGAAATCGGGAGTTCCAGGTTGGAAGTTCCTTCAGAAAGAAGACACACCTCTCCCTCTGGCTGCTCACACCAGCATCTCCCTCCCTGCACCTCCCTCCCTGACCATCCACCCCATCATCCCCACAGCCATTTGTCAGCGAATCTTGCCCGAATCTTGCCGGAACAAATGAACCCAGGAGCCCCAAAGGCAGTGTGTCCCTGCCAGCTCACACCTGTGCCTCCCTCTTTCCCGGCTGCCTGCAGGACACAGCCCCAGGAGAAACAAAACAAATGAGTGAGAGCAGAGCAGACCGCAGATGCTTTTCCTCTTGGCCCCGCTGGCCTCCACCACTGCCACCAGTCACACAGGCTTCGTCTGCCCTCAGCCTCTGCTTCTCCAGGTACCTTGCCTGCGGGTGCACTGGGGCAGGTTTTTTCTGCTGGGCCAGGTTCAGCCTGTATTGCACTTTGTTGCTGAGTTTGTGTTGGTTTTCATTGCTGTTGTGGAGAGTGGCATTGACTGATTGGAAATCACAGAACTGCTCCTGCGCCAGCCTCACTCCCGCTCTAACCCTGCACCAGGACTCCCACCAGGCCCCCCACCCTCTGCCTGCTCCCTCTGCTGGCTCCAGGAGTGCCACTGCGCCTCCCCACCCTGCTCGGGCCCCCAGTGGCGGTCATGGCCTTCCTTCTGGGCCTCAGCTCTCACACTGTCGTGACTCTCATGACCAGCTCTCGGCTGCTGCCCGGTGGACTCCGCTGTTCATGAGGTCTCAAGTGACTCAGGATGTGCAGGATGGTATAAGCACAGTGGTGATGGGACAGAGGGCCTGAGGGGTGGCCGGCAGCCTGGGCAGGGCCCTGCTCAGTGGCAGGGGTGCCTGCAGCCTCCTCCTCCGAGGAGGGGATATTGGCCTGGGTGGATGAGGAGGTCCGGGGGTTGGTCCTGCCTCCTGCCTTTTGATCCTCCAGGTCTTTTGTCTTGTCATAGTTCAGCACTTTCCACTGCTGGTTGACAGCCTGCCACCGTTTAAAGATGCGGTACACCGAGGGTCCCTCGTGGATGATAAGACCTGAGGCAGCAGAGAGAGGAGAAACAGAGACCAAATGAGAGGAAGTGGGTGACTGCCAGGAGACCACAATCTCTGAACCTACGAAAGGTATGGGCATTGGCTCCAGTGCTGAGCCACAGGAGGGCCATCCCGAGATTCCTAGGTTTAGCAAGTCTCTGGGAGGCAGAAGGTGGAGGAGCCAACACGCCGAGTCCGTGAAATAATTGAGCACCTTCAGACAGTTCCTTCGCCCACTTCCACTCCACCCCACCACGTTCCTGCCTTGACAAAATTCATGTTCATCCACTGAGGCATAATATAAATATCTTTTCCTCCCTCTATTATGTATCCATGGCACCCAGTGCTTAGCAGATGTTGAGTGAATTGTGTGCTTTTAAAGCACCACAAAAGAAAGCCCATAGTTGGTCACTCCATACCTGCTAAAGGTTGCTGGAAACCCCACTGGTTAGCTCTTTGCACAGATACCCCAATGCTACCAAGATGCAAACAGCCCTGGGAGACACCCCAATGCTACCAAGATTCAAAGAGCTCTGGGAGAGATCACTTGGATGCAGTTATATCTGCCAGAGTCAGTGACAGAGGTGGAAACAAGCTACACCAGGCAGCAAGGCAAAGAAATAATCATTGTGTGCCTACTGTGTGCCAAGCACTGGGTTTACTGCAGTCAGCAGGATGCCCTCTGAGAGCTCACGTTTTCTCGGGGACACACAATGGACGTGGAAACAAACCAATGTGACAATTTCAGGTGCTGAAAAATGCCTTAAGGAAGATAACTGGGGTAAAATAGCCACTGGCTGCAGGCACTGGGATCCTATATAACAAGAGGTGGGAAAGGCCTTTTTGGAGGAGACCACATCTGAGTTGAGACTTAACTGATGAACAGGAGAGACCCATGCCAAGACCTGGTGAGAGAGCTGTTTGGTGGTAGAAACTCCAAGTGCAAAGGCCAGGAGGTGGGAATAGAATGAATGAGCTCAGAGAGTAGGGCAGTGTGACCAACACAGTGCAGCGGTGAGGAAGTGGAGGGAGGCGGGGCGAGCAGAGGCCAGTGGTTGGTAGGGCCTTGCAGGCCACGGCCAGGGATTTGCATTCTATCCTGATTACAATGGGAAACCACTGACGGTTTCAATAGCGTGGATGATGTGATCTAATTCACCTCCATAAAGCCCCCTTAGCTCCTGTGAAGAGGGCCAAGCAGGAAGCGGTGACGTCATGCGAGTCGGAAATGGCGACAACACTGACGAGGGTCGTGGCGGCGGAGCAGTGAGAAACTGCCGGAGTCAGGCTGGGAGCAGAGCTGAAGACTTGCTGACTGGCAAGGTGGGAGTGAAGAGAAAGATCTGGACAACTTGGAAGCTCTTGGCCTCAGCGTCTGCATGAATGGGGAACCATTTCCTGAGATGTGGCGGGTACCAGGCGCGGGCTATGGATTTGTGTGGTGGCTGCGGTGACCAGATTTGTTGCCTATTGTTGCTGTGGCAAAGTACCACACATCTGGTAGCTTAAAATGGCACGCATGTTTCTCTTACAGTTCTGGAGACCAGAACTAAAGTCTAAAATCAATCCCACTGGGTTGACGTGCGGTGACAGCAAGGCACCTTCCATTTCTTTCTGGAGGCTTTGAGGGGGAAGAATCCATCTCCTTGCCTTTTTTCAGCTTCTAGAAGTTGCAGTTTCTGCCTCTTCCTTGCATCGCTCCAGCCTCTCTCTTCTGTTCTCACCTCTCCTACTACTCTTCTGTCATCAGATCTCCCTCTCCTTCTTGTAAGAACACTTGTGGCTACATTTAGGGCCCACCTGAGTAATCCAGGATACTGTCCCCATTTCAAGATCCTTAAATTAATCACATTGGCAAAGTCCTTTTCCATATAACGCAACATTGACAGGTTCAGGGGTTGGGACCTGGGTGTCTTGGGGGCCATGGTTCAAGCCTATCAGAGTGATTACTAGCTACATTTTGGTCATGGTTAAAGTGTCTAATAGAAATCTAGCTGGCAGGGTCAGGTGGGCAATTGGACAAATGAGTCCAAAGCCTAAGGAGAGGCCTGGCCTGGAAATAGAAGCCATTGGTGTAGAAGTGGGACTTGAACACCTGGGAATAGCTGAGACCTCGTAGGGGAGAGAAGAAGGCCAGCGACAGAGTCCTGGGCTTCAGATGTTTAGAGGCTTGGTGGAGGCTTTGGTGGATAGGACCAGTGAATGAGCCTCAAAAGAAGCAACCAAGGCCGGGCGCAGTGGCTCATGCCTGTAATCCAAGCACTTTGGGAGGCTGAGGGGGGTGGATATCAAGGACAGGAGTTCAAGACCATCCTGGCCAATATGGTGAAACCCCATCTCTACGAAAAAATACAGAAATTATCTAGGTGTGGTGGCGGGCACCTGTAGTCCCAGCTACTCGGGAGGCTGAGGCAGGAGAATCACTTGAACCTGGGAGGTGGAGGTTGCAGTGAGCTGAGATCGCGCCGCTGCACTCCAGCCCGGCAACAGAGCGAGACTCTGTCTCAAAAAAGGAAAAAAAAAAAAAAAAAAAAGCAACCAATGAGGTAGAAGCAAGACCAGCAAGTGTGGTGACCCGAAAGCCTAGGCAAGGGTTCAGAAAGAGTGCAGTGACTTTTTTCAATGTTATCAAGTGGTCAGCTTGAGTAAAATGGGAAATGACCACTGGCTCCATGGGCACAGATGGAGGAAGAATGAGAGAAATGTCAGCGGGAGAATCAGGTAGTTCTCTTCCAAGTACATATTTCCCCCCTCACGAAATCATCAGCTAAGATAGAAGAGATAAGGGAGGAAGTGTTAAAGATTTGTGGAGAGAGGAGAAGGTGGGAAATAATTATCTCGGAATGTAGGAGTGTGAATTTACAAGGGGGATGTGGTAGAATTAGCTCACTCTGTTAAATGTCCATTTCAGATAAATCTGAAGTGAATCTCATCACTGATTGTGTGATTTTTCTCCACCCCTTCAAACTGCTTGCTCAGGTGCACATGTGGAAGAAGACACCTGGGTTTCACCAGGGTAGACTGTTTCCCCGGGCAAGCAGACATGAGAATTATATGTGCTTGCAAGAGAATGGTTATCATGCTAGACCACGGAGCCCAGGCTGGGGATGGTGGAGAATAAAAAGGTATAAGGAGTCATGAAAGGTGGAAAGTGAGAGGGTCAAGGCCAGGCGGCCTCTACAAAGTTGGAAGATTATTGGAGTCAGTGAATGGGAGGTAATGGTCAGAGAGTGCGATGTTTAAATCCAGATCTTAGAAGTAGTGTGGTTACTGGTGATTATGATTCTAGGATGTGACCATTTGATTGGGGCTGGAGTGTGCTGGAGGAAAAGATCTTTGGAGCAAGAGCAAAGCCAGGGAATTGGAAAGATTATCTGCATCAGCCATCCTCAATGCCATCAGACCAAACATCCCCTTTTTATAACGACTATATTTTAACATCCCCGTTCCTATCCTGAAATGAAATTCATAAGCTACTATAAGAAACTATATCTTTAAATTAATATAATGTCCTAACAGATAATGTAAAATAAAAATAATAAAGGGAAATCTTTTATAACAAAACAATATAAGTTTCAGTGAAAATGCTGCAGTGCAACTACATTGAAAAACAGACAAACAAACCCCAGGCATTTCCAAAATGCCTCTGGGGGACAGCCCTGTCTCTGCCAAGCATTGATCTATGCAGGTGCTGAGGATGGGAGTGGGAGGAGTGTATGAGCAGGTGCACGAGAGCATCTGAGGACTGAGTAGGCGGCCAGCAGCCGACAGCATCCAGAAGGGAAAATGGGTGGTAAAGAAAGATGCACTTCGGCCAGGCATGGTGGCTCATGGCTGTAATCCCAGCACTTTGGGAGGCTGAGGCGGGTCAATCATCTGAGGTCAGGAGTTCAAGACCAGCCAGGCCAACATGGTGAAACCCCGTCTCTAATAAAAATACAAAAATAAGCCAGGTATGGTGACACATGGCTGTAATTCCAACTACTCAGGAGGCTGAGGCAGGAAATTGCTTGAACCTGGGAGGCAGGGGTTGCACTGAGCTGAGATCATGCTCCTACAGTCCAGCCTGGGTGACAAGAGCGAGACTCCCAAGAAAAGAAACGGAGGAAGTGAGGAAGGAAGGAAACGAAAGAGAAAGAAAAAGGAAGGAAGGAAGGAAGGAAGATGGATGCATGCATTGGGGCTTCTGAAGGATGAAGTAAGAGAAGTAGCTGTGAGTGGTAATGGAAATCAAGAAGGACATGGACCTCACCTCCAGACCACACAGGGTGCAGTGTATCGGAGAAAGAAGAGCCACCACCTGAGAACAGTGTTCTCAGGAGACAGCTATGCTTCAGGTAGGAAAGATGGAGAGAATGTGCAGAGAGGAGGTCGATAATGAAGGACCATGAGGTGCAGGGGGCATGGTGAAGGGCTGGGAAGACAGGCTCAGAGGTAGGAATGAACTGAGCAGGAAAGGGATGCTGGTGCAGAGAGTGAGGCTGCCAGGAGCCGGGCCCTGTGCTGGTGGGTGAGATGATGGCATGGCGGGTTTCATCCCACAGCCACTGAGGATCCAAGGGAGGAGCCGGCTCAGAGCAAACAGCAATGAGTCACCCCAGCCACCTGGTGCAAAACCTCAGAGCCGCTTCAGTTTCCAACAGGCTGAAATTCTCGGAGACCAGAGCCACCCGCACAGCCACTTTCTCTTCCAGTGTTCCAGCTGAGTCTGAACTCATGCATCGCCCAACAAGTCTTCACCGTTCATTGAAAGAGAGGTAGCCTCGGGAGTTTCTAGCCCTTTGTTTGGATCACACCCCTTTGAGGATCTAATGAAAGGAAAGATCATCTCTCTGGAGGGGAAAAAAAAAAAACCAGACAAATTGTCCTTGTACTAAATCTCCTGAAGATCACTGGTGGACCCTCTGCTCTGGTCTGACAGATGCTGAACAAAGAGACTTCCTTTCTGTCCCACTTTCTCACCCTCCCCCAACTGTACCAACTCCTATCATCTCTGCCAACCT